ATATGTTGATGCTTTCTCTCCACAACACCATTTTGTTGTGGAGACTCAACACAAGTCAATTGGTGAATGATTCCACTTTGATTAAAAAAATCTTGCATCATAAACTCCTGACCATTATCACTTCTAAAGGATTTTACAGTCATGTGAAACTGATTTTTAACAAAAGAGACAAAAAATTTAATGTGCATTCTGATTTCAGATTTTGATTTCATCAAAATTCCCCAAGTAAAACGTGTGAGATCATCAACTACTGTCAAAAAATATCGATGACCATGAATAGAAGATATAGAATATGGTCCCCAAATATCCAAATGCACTAGATCAAAGGGATTATCAGAAACAGTGGAACTAGAAATGAAAGGCAATTTTCTTTGCCTGGAATAATGGCATATATCACAAGGAGTATCAGTATTTTTACAAGATATAAAAGGATATTGGGTGATCATTGTCTTCATTACAGAAGAAGAACAATGTCCTAAACGCAAATGCCAAACATCTATGGAACCAGAATTTACAGAATAAGGAGATTGAATGGAAATGTTATTTGTGGATTTAACTTGTGGGTCTGAGTATGTATTTTCTTGGCTACAGTCTTGAGTAAGGATGTATAGGCCTCCCTTCAGCCTAGCTGAACCAATCATCTCCATGGTAGGCATGTGTTGGATTGTGCATATTTGCTGCTGGAAAATTACACAGCAGTTAGAAACTTGTGACAATTTGTTCACAGATATGAGATTGACATTAAAATTCTCAACAAACAAAACATTGTGTAAGGTAAGTGTATTGGTCAATTGTACAGTTCCTGAATAGTGAGATTGAACCTGGCTACCATTAGGTAGAGAAATAGCTACTGGTGCAATCTTTTGTATTGAACACAAGTTGGTCAAGCAATGAGTTATGTGGTCAGTAGCTCCTGTGTCTAGGATCCATTGTGTGTGAGCATTACCTGTAGAAGCTGTTTCAACATTTCCCATCTTCATTTCGGTATTGAGTGCTCTTGCCTGCACTATGTTGCTCATATGAGGAGAATTGTCTTGCTGTTGATGTTGCAAAGTGTGCTGAATCATTTCAAAAATAGCATCATACTGATTCTTCGTAAAACTTCCCTTGCTCTCTTGATGAGTGACAACATTATTCTGATCACCAGCAATATCTGAGGTATCTTGAATTACAGCATTAGCTGACTTAGGTCCATTTGATCCATTTCTCATCTTATATCCAGGTGGATATCCATGCTTCTCAAAGCATGTGTCAATAGTATGGCTAGTCTTCCCACAGTATGTACATAGCCTAGTAAATGATCTGCCACGCCCATTATAATATCCTCTTCCTCTTCCTCTACCATTAAAACGACCACCTCTTGTCATATTGTGTTCTGTAGAAGAATTATAGAACACTTTTGAAATTCCATCTTCAGAGTTAGACAAAATGCCTTCAATATGCATTTGTCTTTCCTGCTGAGTAACCAATGAGAACACTCTATTAATTGATGGAAGAGGATCCATAAGCATGATTTGGGACCTCACATGAAAATATTGCTCATTGAGTCCCTTTAGAAATCTAATCGAATAATCTCTATCTTTGCTACTCTTCACTTCTGAGGCAATAGTGCAGCATGGCCGAATGCATTTACATGAAGGTGTAGGGTGTAAATTCTCCAACTCATCCCAAAGGATCTTAAGCTGGGTATAGTAATTTGATATCGATTTGTCTCCTTGATGAAGACGAAAAATCTCATCCTGCAAGTCAGAAATGCGAAAGATATCTGACTGAGAAAACCTCTCCTTGAGGTCTTTCCACACATCAACAGCTCTATCCATCCACAATATTGATTGAGAGATGGAATCAGTAATAGATCGATGCAACCATGACAGCACCATGGTGTTGCATCTCTCCCAAGCAGAATAATTCTTATCAGAATCCACTGGAACAGGAATCGAACCATTCACAAAACCAATTTTATTCTTAGAAATCAATGCCATGGTCATGGCTCTAGCCCATGCATGGTAGTTCTTGCCGTTCATCGGTGTGGAGACAAGAACAAGGGACGGATTTTCATTTGAATGTAGAAAATATGCATTACCTTGATCTGATAGATCTTGAACACGATTCTTATCTGCATTTTTCAGATTTGCAGCATTCGAAGCATTTCCTTGAATCTCAGGTTCATCAATAACCTGATCCATAACATGCGGAGGACTCTGATTCGCCATCCAAAAAAAAATATTAAAAACGCCTTGATTCAGAAGAAGATCTATAAGAAGAAAGAAAACAGATCTAAGAAGGAAAGAAGAAAAATGGCGAATATCAGAGCCCTCTATGAGGCTCTGATACCATCTTAGTGTATGTGGAAGCGTGAGAAAGCTTCATTGATGAAAAAACAGAAAAGGTGTTACAGTAGAGTTTGTACCTTACCTTTCTAATATGCAGAAAGCAAAAGACCAAAAAATAAAATAGTCACACACGTGACTGGACTAACAAACTAGCTAACTACACATGGTTAGTGTAACAAACTAACTAACTACACATGGTTAGTCTAACAAACTAACTGACTTCTAATTACATAGCAACTACCAGTTAGAAAACTAACAACAGATTAATGATACAGAATAAATAACATATTCTGTATCAACTAATCTCCCACTTAATTAATAAGTAAAAAATTAATTTCTTGATAGTACAAAATATTATCTCAATTTTGTTTTTTTTTTAAATCAGCTAAAGGCTTTTATAATAGTTTACCAAAATAAAAATGCTTTAACAATATATTATTAATTTATTTCATTAATCATTCAAAATGTTGACAAATAAGAATTTAAATTATTCTCTTATACTTATTTCTCTTGGTCACATATTTTTGTACCCAAAAAAAAGAGAGAATAATTTAATATTAATTTTCATAATTAATGAATTAAATCAATGAAAATAATAGTGGAAATACGGTTGATTAATAATTTCTCTTTTATTTTAATTTCTTTTATTACTTTGTCATTCTTCTTAAGTTATATACCAATATACCCGTTTTTTAAATTATATATCAATCTCTATTCTTGTTAGACCAAAGTTTGACCAAATCTTAATTCTTGATAAGTTATTTATTGAAATAAAATACTCATTTACTTAAATAAAAGTCAATTAAATTTTAAACAAATAAAAACATATTGGGATATAATTTAAAAAAAAAAAGTAAATTAATATATAATTTTAATAGAAAAAAATGATAAAAAATTTGAAAGAGTACTCAAATGATAAAGTTTAAAACCGACAATTGGTTTGACAATTTTATCCCGACACGTGGCTATTTGTCCTGCCCTGAGAGGCTGACACACGGGACGAATTTTAAACCCGTGATATGTATGTAGTTTTTGGTCAATTCATCCTGTCCCACGTTGTACCCTTTTTTTTGGCAAAATGGTTGCAGTAAATTGTTTTAATCATGTCACGTTCGTAAAATGTGCCTATTTTTTTTTTACAAAAATTAGTGGAACCCAGCTTGTTTCTATATGCAGAAAAATTTGATAATCTCCGGCTACAGCAGAAAAACAAAGCATTTTTTTTGTTTGTAAACCACGTTCTACCTTTTATTTAAACAAACATTATGCTTAGCTTACCAAAAAAAAATAAAAAACATTATGCTCATTTTATTTATTAGTAAAGTTAACTATTTTAACCTATTAATATATTTTAACGTAAATTTTAGATTATGTAATATTATATATATATATATATATATATATATATATATATATATATATATATATATTTTGGTAAGCATATTAATTTTTAACTTGTAAGTAATTATCATATAAATTTAATTTAGAACTTTTATAAGTGTAGGATGAAGAGGAAAGGATAATTCTAAATCCTTGTAAAAACATTTTTTTTTGGTTATGCAGACGGAATATTATGGACCTAAATTTAACGAAATAGTTTGAGACACATAATTTACTGATCAAAGTTTATCTGTCCACTAAGTTAAAGAGTAATGTTAAGTATTATACAAATACTGTACCATTTAAATATCATAATAAATTTAGTGATGATTTTATTTTTTATTTTTATTTTAGAAGCCATTATGATAATTTAATATTTTACCCAATTTACTTTTGTTTAAATAGTAAATGCTGTGAAAAATCTTACCTAAATTGAGATTATTGGTCTTTTTAGTTCGCCGAAAATGGCGAGACAACATATTTGTCAATTTGTTAAGAAAAAATATTATATAAGTATAATATGAAATTAAAGTGTTTACACAAAATAAGCAAACTTTAATAAGAAAAAGGAATGAAATTACGTTTCCGTAACCAAAAGGAGTAAAAGAACAAAAAAAATATATATTAGGAAAAAGTGTGTATCATTTTAATTTTTAAATGATACAAAATTATATCATTTTAAGTGAGATAAATCATAGAAGAGAGAGTGAATTTTTTTTTAAAGGTGTGTGTTCCACTTTTTTATAAGAATGAAAGAACATAAAGTGTGCCATTTAAAATGACATATTTTTTTTTTCTATATATTAATATGTATTTTTTGTTACATAAGAATGGAATTGTAGGCGAGGACGATTACGTAGCAACGGTGCATTTCTAATTCAACAAGTGACACCTAATAAAAAAAATATTTTTATCTCTTTTTCATACAAACATCACAATTATTTCTCAATTTTTATTATTTAGATACACTCAGCGAATAATACAGTAAATAGTAAATTTTTCGGCAACGGTGAGAGGCATTATCCCACACATTTGACAGAGATCAGAAAGGTCTTTTTCATTTCATAGGATAGGAAAGAAGGTTATTTGTGGTTGTGACTTGTGAGTGTGGTACACGTGCGAATAATGAGTGCACCGCGAGGAGGGGAGGGAGGTATGTAATGTAACTCTCGCTTTCAGTCAGAAACTAAAAGCGCGTACATCCCACTTGCTACTCGGCACTATAAAGCAGGGAGTGAGGAACACACAGAGTCCTCAAATTCAGCATTACTTTGAGTTTGAGTACAACAAACCGGCTTCACAATTAATCTTGAGTGTGTGTGAATTAGTGAAGAATGGAGGGAGAAGAAGACAGCACAACTGTTGACTGGAGAGGCAGACCCTCTAACCCTCATAAGCATGGTGGAATGAGACCTGCTCTTTTCGTTCTTGGTATCTATCTATCTATCTATCTATCTCATTTGGCCCTTGTTACAGTACTAGTTGATCATGTATAAATTAAAAGCATATATATATATATATATATATATATATATATATATTTTGCCAGATTATATATGCATCTTAATTACTTCTTTGTTACTGTGTTAATTCTCTCTTCTGCATATATATATATATATATATATATATATATATCACTTGAATTGATCAGGGTTGCAAGCATTTGAAATAATGGCAATAGCTGCGGTGGGAAACAACCTCATAACTTATGTGATCAATGAGATGCACTTCTCTTTGTCCAAATCTGCCAACGTCGTCACTAACTTTGTTGGAACTATATTTCTCCTCGCCCTCCTCGGCGGCTATCTTTCTGACTCTTACCTCGGCAGCTTCTGGACCATCCTCATCTTTGGTTTTCTTGAACTTTCTGTAAGCTAGCTCCGTCTCTTTCTTTATTTCTCCATCTGTACCTATATATTAAAACCAAAAAATTATCAAACTTTTATTTATTTTACTTTTCCACATGCCTCCTTCAAAGAAAAAATAGAAAATTATAATTATCGATTGAAAAATTTGACCAGTGAAGTGATTATAAAATTATTAAAATTTATTTCCATGATTTTTTAATTAATTGTTATATCATATAATTAATTTCTCCATATATATATATATATATGGCGTTGACTGCCTTTCAAATGATGTCATTGATATGGAATCTTCAGTCAGTTTCTAATTCTTATTAATTGCTAAACATATATATTTTTATGAATTAATAATTAATAATATTTGGTTGTGACTTGTGACAGGGTTTCATATTGCTGTCAGTCCAAGCTCATCTTCCTCAGTTGAAGCCACCGCCGTGCAATATGATGATGAGTGACGGAGAAGAACAGTGCATAGAAGCAAAGGGCTTCAAGGCCATGATATTCTTTTTAGCAATATACTTGGTGGCATTAGGGAGTGGATGTGTGAAGCCTAACATGATTGCTCATGGAGGTGACCAATTCAATCAAGAGAACCCCAAGCAGTTAAAGAATCTCTCCACTTACTTCAATGCAGCATATTTTGCATTCTCTTTGGGAGAACTCGTTGCCCTCACAATTCTTGTTTGGGTTCAAACTCATTCGGGAATGGACGTAGGCTTCGGAGTATCAGCAGCTGCAATGGCAATGGGATTGATAAGCTTGATATGTGGGACTCTATATTACAGGAACAAACCCCCACAGGGCAGCATCTTAACCCCCCTTGCTCAAGTACATACCCTATACATACCAATCTTAATTTGTTAATTTCTATATATATATATATACTTGTTAATTAAGGATTAATTAATATTAGCATCCATTTGTACTGTTGTGCCTCAAGAATATTAATCAAGTTAATTACCATGATCTCATATATATATATATATATATCAGGTTCTTGTGGCTGCATTTCTGAAAAGAAAGCATATCTGTCCATCTAACCCACAAATGCTTCATGGAAGCCAAAACTATGTTCATACCGATAAGTTCAGGTACTTTTATATTGGATTCAATCAATTATACCATGTTCTTAATTAGAAGTATATATAGTATATTTTTCTGCATGCCAATATATATGTGCTAGCTAAAGTAAAAAAAAAAAATATATATATATATATATATATATATATATATATTCATTAATATTATTAATATATATTTGATCAGGTTCTTGGACAAGGCTTGTATCAGAGTGGAATTAGAGGGAACAAACAGAAAGGAAAGCGCATGGAGATTGTGCAGTGTGGGACAAGTTGAGCAAGTGAAGATGTTGGTATCAGTTGTTCCGATATTTTCTTGCACCATCATATTCAACACAATATTAGCACAACTGCAGACATTCTCAGTCCAACAAGGGAGTGCCATGGACACCCATCTAACCAAATCATTTCATATCCCACCAGCGTCGCTTCAGTCCATTCCTTATATCTTGCTCATCATCGTAGTCCCTCTCTATGACACTTTCTTTGTCCCCTTTGCCAGAAAAATTACTGGTCATGAGTCTGGAATCTCGCCTTTGCGTCGAATAGGTTTTGGCCTCTTTCTAGCTACATTTTCTATGGTTTCGGCTGCTCTATTGGAGAAAAAGAGAAGGGATGCAGCTCTGAACCATAACAAAACTTTGTCTATTTTTTGGATTACTCCGCAATTCTTAATCTTTGGATTGTCAGAGATGTTTACAGCCGTTGGTCTCCTTGAGTTCTTTTACAAACAGTCCTTCAAAGGGATGCAGGCATTCTTGACAGCTATCACATATTGCTCCTACTCATTTGGATTTTATTTGAGCTCACTATTGGTTTCTTTGGTCAATAAGATCACTTCAACTTCTTCAAATGGTGCTGGTGGTGGTGGTTGGCTTCATTACAACAATCTCAACCAAGACAGGCTTGACCTTTTCTATTGGTTAATGGCTGCCCTAAGCTTTCTAAACTTCCTCAACTATCTCTTTTGGTCCAGATGGTATTCTTATGCTCCTTCCCAACCTGAACCTTATGCCAAGCAAAACAATAATCAATCCAAATACTCTGGATCAGATGACAATATTCCCTAGCATACCAATTTATTTAGTCTAGCCTTTTTGTACTATATTCAGTATAAAGTTATTATGAAAAATACTGTGAAGAATGCATGGCAATTAATGTCTTAATTATTATATATATAAGGAAGGGCATCTAAATTCAGAGGAGCTTAATGTGTTAATTTTTCCCCCTTACTCTTTATTCATGTTAATTACACTTGAAATTCGGTGGCAGGAAGCTTTTAAAAAACTACAATAATAAAAATTAAGTATGAATGTTATTAAATAATTTAAGCGATCGATGATTAAGTAAAATCTTATATAGACTTTAAACCTCTCCCAAAGTGATATTTGGTATTATATATATATATATATATAAAGTGTTTGATAAACAAATTCATAACTACGCGAGACATGCATGTTATGGGAATTGGGACCCACATATAATTGCCATGGTTTACTCACAAACACACACAACTATATACGAAGAAAGATTTATTTAATTTTCTGGGTCTACATATTGGTGTTTTAAGGAGGAACTTCGTGGCAAGATTCATTACATTCTCTCCCTGTTTATCTTTGACTGCTTGACAACGTGGGAATTACTTTTTTCCTTTTAGTTTTTTTCCTATATCAAATTAAAAAACGAACATGTAATCTAAGTGATAGAACGCGTACCGTGATTTCATCCAAGTACTATGATCCGATGCTAGCAAAATTTATTCTAAAACACATTTTTAACACAAATTGGCGTAAGAATTTACACATAGAATTAAAAACATAGACAAATAGAATTGTAGTTTTTATAACAAAAATCACATTGGAGAATTTGTTGAAGTTGTTCTTTTTGACAATCATTGTGTACGATTATGTAATAAGACATGTCTCTAACATGTTTTACTGTTGAGGCCAGCCCCCCCGCAAAACCATTTCTAATTGGCATCCTCATAGGACATTATACATTAAAATGTTGGGTAAAAGATTAACACAGTCCCCACATAAAAAATAGCTTGTCATGGCACTGAGCCCACTTCCGTCTCAAATTTATGATTGTTTTCCCCACTATCTCATCTCACTTCTCCAAAAGTGTCTCCTTTCCACTCCGATCCTCTTCTTTTGTTTCCTTTCTTTATAAAATTTTCTGTTTCCTTTAATCGGTTCCTTTTTTTTTTTTAAAAAAATCTTAATTATTGATTTACTTGAATCTAACGACTCAAATATCTAATAATTATTAGATTTGGATAAAAATAAAATCAACTATCAAAATTAAGAATGTAACTTACATCGATGGAGAATAAGACTTAAAAATCTTAGAGCCAAAATATCTCCCCTCACACACTTATGAATTCTAAAATTCATGAACTAGCTATAATCTTTGTTTCTTTTTTCTATTTATTACAGTCTTTATAAGATATATCTTTTTATATTGGAATTAAAGAATAAGAAGTTACAAAAGTACATAATGAGTATGTTAATACACCATTATTTATGAATACAAAAAGGCTTTAACCACAAAGGCATCTAGTACTACCTACGTAATGAAGATAGTCAACAGAGCCGTGTAAAATATGTATGTTTAACAACATTATTTTATTTTAAAAAAAAATTTGTGATAGAAGGTGATTTTTGTCTCCAAATTGTGTAGATATCACAGCTCACAAGCTTCACAACTCCACGTCATAAAGTAGCTAATAATTTGCGCCAATCTTTATTACATTATTTCCATATCATTTTTATTTTTAAGTAATAAAACTAAAAATACATTTCTTAATATATATTATTTATATTTCTTTTTTTAATAAATAAATGAATTTTTTTGTCATTTTAAGTGAAATAATTGTGTTTTAGTGTAGTGATTTTTTATATTCTTTCTCTTCCAAAAAAACAGGAAGAGAGAGAAAGAAATAATATTGTGAAGGAGAGAGAATATAAAAAATTAGTATACAAAGTTGTGTAATTTAAAATATTTAAATACTTTTTAATAAATGTAAGTGTAAGACAGTTTGTAACAAAGTAGTAAAAAATAGTATACAAATATTTCTTTTTATTATATTAGATTTATTCATAGACAATATCACTGTTGCCCACCGCCAGTAATCTTCAAAAATATAAAGTTGCGATTTGGGTATCGAAAAACAGTTACTTATAAAGATGTGAATAATGACATTAGTAAGACCCAGATCCATCATCTATATATATCTTGGGCTTCACAAGAGGTCACGTTTAATAATAATTTGGACATTTTAAGGGCCAATGAGAATGAAAATAAAAGCCCAATATAAGAGACCTCCGAGGGTTTGAGGGGAGGGTCTTGTAACTTGTTCTTCTCTTTTCTTCGAGTCGTGTGAGTCCTGTGGTGTGGTGTTTGTGATTTGAAAGAATCGAAAGAAAAAAAGATGGAAGGGCAAAGCGGTGATGAAGTAAGCATACAAGAGCTCGCCTCCAATCTTTCTATCTACAAAGATCAACTCCATCAGGTTCCCTTTTTTCATTCGCTGCAACAATTAGGGTTTTTCCCCCACTTCAATTTTTATGTAACATAATTTAGAAAATGCAAATATCAATCATGGATTAGGGAATAAAGAAGCTCACTCCGGTCTTCAAGAAAAGAGAATTTTGTGTGTGTTTTGTTAATGAGATAACCGAATATGAGCGATAACTAATTGTGGATAGTGAGTGACCAACATGCTAATTATTGCATGTCCTCTGTCCTTTGTTAGAAAAAAAGAAAAAAAAAATAGTTAATGTCATTGGTATCGCTTATAATATCAATTTATGTACTCCTTAGTCTTTTATATGAAAGATTAATGGTTTTCCTTCATCTCGTCTCTGGATCAGGTTAGACAACTTCTAAATGACGAGCCTGGAAATTCTGAGTATGTGGACATGGAAAGGGAGCTTACTGAGGTATTTTTTATTTTATTTTATTCACTCGCTTAGCTGATTTCTTGTTCATTTTATTCATTAGTGTAATGAATATAGCAGTTCTTTCTGTTTCCCACTGTTCTCCATTGTTTCGTCTTAATATACTCCTTCAATAATGCTTATTTTTCTGTTAAAATAAAATCTGAATTGATAATTGATTCTTTCTCAAGAAAGCAGAACTCTACCGTCTTACCTAGCATAAAGACATCAGAGCACCGGTGTATGGATGTATGGGCTTGCTATGCACCACATTTTATTTTAATTTTTCAACCCATGAAACTCTAGTGGCTCGTTTTTTGGGATTAGTCCTCATTTATTGGTTGAAAGAGGTGAGGGTAGTGTTTTATTGGAATAAATCTTTGGTGCTACTGTTGCACCAAAGATTCAGTACATCTCACCAATAGAAATATTACATGTGAGTTAAAATTTTCTTTTCTCTGCCAATTTTTTTCTCTCACATATGATGTGTAATACTCCCATTGGTGGGATGCACTGAATCTTAGTGCAACAGTAGCACCAAAGATTTATTCGTTTTATAGGGTTGAGTTTCTCGAGAACTCACCCCCTTCCAACAGACACGCTACAGTATCACATGTTATATTTTTTTATTTTATTTTACTTAAAGTGGGCCCCACATCAAAAATTTAACTGCAGCAGATGTCAGCTTTCCTCTCACAGGAGAACTATAATATCCATGTTTTATTTGGAAGTACAGGGCAGTCAGTTAGTAATATGATTCAAATTGCAGATCCTGAGGAGCAATATAATGAAATAAAAAATGAAATAAAAAATGAGAGCCTCGTCAAAATGCACATCACTTCTATCTTGGTTCTGTGCAGGTGTGCTCTGTGTCGTGATGTCCAGCATGCTTTCTCCCTCTCACCTGATATGAGATGTTCACACTGAGATTCTAAGTTAGAATTTTGACATTAATTTGGTTTATGATGTAAAAATTTCTGAAAAATATTTATTTTACTGAATTGGAATGTGGCCTAAAATTGTGTGACACAGGTGATTGCTTTAACGGAAGAACTCCTTGCAACTGCAAAGCAAAATGAAATATCTGGTTCAAATGCTAGTGCATCTCCAAGTTTGTCAAAACCTAAGGAGAATCTAGTGGTACATGCTCGATTTTCTGATTTGACTTTAGAGTTTACTTTCACATGGTGCTGAATATGTCTAATTTACTTTATTGCTGTCCGCGAAATTGGGAATCATGGTAGGGAAACTCATGATCAACAATTTTGTGTATTTTTTTATTTGATATCTGTCTTCGAGCTCACTTTTCTTTTCACAGCTATACTTAGTCCCTTTCTGAATTCGGACTGTATGAGCCATAGTTTATTTCAAATGTTTGTTCCATTCACTTGGTTTATCATTCTTCTCGGGTGATGTTGTCATTAATTACGAATTGTGGATCAGTTTGGTTAGTTAGAGAAGTTTCCCTGTCAAAGGCTTTTGTGATTAGATAAAAGAAAAGTTCAGAGGTTTTGGCACGAGTAGGAGGTCCAAGGTTTGCAGCAGTTTGCTATGTGTGGTCCTTTGATGTCTTGAGTAATGTAGAATGATTGCATGTTGAAGGCAAACTTTCTCTCTTTAGACTTGTTATGGGGCGGAACTGCAGGAGTTTGTGTCCTTATTTTGGTCCTTCACTCGGGGCAGGTTGGATGAAATGGCGCAATGTATTAGGATTTTGTGTGGTCACAAAATCCCTTGAGGCTAAAAGGAAAATTTTATAAAACAGCAGTACTATCTACAATGTTTATGCATAGCTGAATGTTGGCCAATACAACATGAGCATAAATGGGAGTAGTGGAAATGATTCCCCTATATTATTTATCTTCTCTAATTTACTTTTTCTCATTTATTCGTTTTTACCTCTTAAAGGTGTGCTTGATGTTGACTCATGGTTTCCTTTAGGGAGTCTCCTTGGTATACATGTAGTAGGATAAATATTAATTCAGACCAAGCAGATATGCTAATTTGCATGATAAGGATCATATCTTATCCCTCCCACCCCCACCTTTTTGTCTGTAGTCCTTCACTTCTGGAAAAAACACTACTAAAAAAAGAAAGAAATAATAATTGCTTATTTGATGGTGCCTGTCTCTTATATGCATTAGGCTATTGTGCATTACTGTGTATTTAACATCTACTGGCTATACTGTTGGAGACTTGGCCTGATGGTCGGTTATTTTGGTAAATGAAGCCAGGATGCACCCTTTCTAATTATGCATTGCCGCTTTTGGCTATAGATAATCGAACTGCAGATGAGAACATTTGCTTGATCTATATTAATATTTATCCCTAATATACTGAATTGCCATGTGCTGCCATGGAACTGCTTGTTCAAAATTGACTTAGTTGCTTGCCTTTGATAATTGCTGAAATTACAATCTGGCAGAAGTTGTCGTAAATTGACTTAGTTTCTTGCCTTTGATAATTGCTGAAATTACAATCTGGCAGAAGTTGTCGTAGAAACGATTGAAATAATCAATGATGATTTAAGCGCTATACTTTTCTGTTGATCATTGGTAATTCCTTTTTTTTTTTTTCACTTTAGGAGTTAGATAGTGGCTTTGATCATGAGAAATTTCCTGTTGGCACTAAAGTTCAGGCAGTTTGGAGTGAAGATGGGGAGTGGTAAGTTATTTTCCTTCTTGTTGTCCATCTACATATTATGATTTCCATTTCATTACCTATGCTTTCTTCATGTTTAATTTGTTATATTATGAATGTCCAGGTATGATGCAACAATTGAAGCCTATTCCCCAAATGGTTATTATGTTTGCTATGAAAATTGGGGTAATAAAGAAGAGGTATTGTTTCTAAAACTACTTGATGCATACTTGATTGTATAGAAGGAAGTCCCCGTTTGCTATTTTACCATAATACAATTAATTATGATGTATTATCTTGCTAAGCAAATCTTGGATATGTAGACGAGGGATTTCAAATAAGGAATTTTGTGATTTTTGCCATGTTTGATTGCCAACCGCCTCTACTGTATGTCAAAATAAAGTATTGCTAATATACCGTGCCAATGCATCTTGCATCCTTTCAGTATTATTCTGCATGAATGCATGATTTGGCTGGTTTGCAAAGATGCAAACTCTTGACAATTTTCTGTACGTAGTTGATAATTATAAAATCTTTTATAGTTTTTAGTTTTCTTTTTAAATCAAATAATCTGTATGCCATCATGTTTATTCAAGTGTTCTCCAGTGCTTTTTTTAATTGAGAAAGGAAATAGCGGAATCAATTTATCCCGCAGAAGGTTACTTGCAAGTAAAGAATTTTCAATTATGTACTTTGTGTGCCATCATGTGTATTGAATTGTTTTGTAGTTCATTGTTGAATTGGGGAAGGGAATAATGGAGCTTTATATCCTGGAGAAGTTTATTTGCAATCTGTCCCGCTCATAAAATGTGATGACGGCATATGGGCCATAAAGACAAGTGGCTAACTCATCATTACAATCTAAAGCATTATTTTTTGGTTATAGACAAACATTCCAACGATTTTCAAGTTTCTTATATCTCCAGGTAAACGCCATGTGTTGATGGTGGTTGCTTATTACAGGTTGATCCTGCCAATATAAGGCCAATTCAAGAAGGTACTGTTGATGCCTTGTTAGAAGCTGAACGAGTTGCCGAAGCTACAAAGCAGGCTATCAAACGTAAAATTGCGCAAGCTGCATCTGTTGATTTTCAGTCGCGAAGTTTACCTGCAAAGCTTCGTATTGAGCCTGATGACCCTGAGGATGTGGTGAGCAGTTGTTTCAGCAACTTTTCATTCTCTCTTCTTTTTTTCTTCCCCATAAATTCACTAAATTATTTATTGAAAATTATATTTTCAATATTGATGAAGTTCTTGAATTTGCTGTTTTTGCTATCTAGATGTCCTTGGGTTAATGTGTCATTTTGTCCTCTACTTTTAGTAAAGTATTTGTTTTTTCTGAAAACAAAATTCTTTAGGGGGTTCTGAAATTATTTTTGTTTTATCCAAGTTCATACTGCCAATTAGCTAGGATGTCATTGATGACATGTTTTCTAACTCAATGATTATAGAAAGCTGCCAAACGTAAGAAAATACATGCCTTTAAGTCAAAGATGAGGATGGAGCAACTTGAAGTCACACAAAATAAGAGGCAAAATGCTTGGCAGCAGTTTCAGTCAACCAAAGGAAAGACAAAGAAGGTACCCTTCTCAACTTCGTAATTATGTTAGTTTTAAAAGTTTTTACGGCTATCTTAGTTTCGCTTGTACCTTGGGGCCTGTTGATAGTTTTAATGTAATAATTGTAATCAATTTTTGTTTGTATATACTTTTTAAAGTGAATTTTTATCCTTTTTTCCTTAACCTTTTCTTATATTTCATTTGGGTTCATTTGCCACCGACTCCAACTAGTTTAGGATAAAAATGTTGTTGATGTTGATAAATTTTAAATTGAATAATGGAAATGAACTAAGCCATTTAGTGCATTAGGATAGCATGAGGCCCTATTGGATAAAATGGTAAACTCTTATCGTATCCATTGTTTGCCTCCAACTGAATACAAAGTCTGATAGCTTAAATGTTTTCTGAACCAAAATTCTTTTCTTCCTCAATTAAATTCCAAGTCTGTGGTGGGTGTGGCAATGCTGTGGTTGAGATAGGATGGATAATGGCAGTGGAGTGAGCATGGGGTAATGGTCTTACGCAGCTTATCTGTCCTATCCAGCCTTATTCTACTCCTAAGGCGAGAGAGAGTTATATGTGAAGTATATGATAGAGAGTCATACTCGAAATTTCATGGAAGAATATGTTTCAACCAAATGTTGAAAATCTATTTATCTCTTGAATTGGTTGGATATAAACATGATTGGAAAAAAAAAATCAACAGCGAGAATTCTTCTGCATTTAACGAGAGTTTAGAAAGCCAGATCACTGAAATTTGCTGTTATGTTTGATTTTCACATCACAATCCACTGATATTTGTGTACGGTATATATTTTGATTTGTATAGATGTTTTTTTATTGCTTTTTGATATATGCATTTCCTTGGCTTTGCTTACAGATTGGTTTCTTCTCGGGAAGAAAGCGGGAGAGTATTTTTAAATCTCCTGATGATCCTCAAGGAAAGGTTGGTGTGACTGGAAGTGGGAAAGGTTTGACAGAGTTTCAAAAGAGAGAAAAACATTTTCATCTCAAGGATGGTACAGTTGAGAATGATGATTAGGTTATGCAGCCCTTCGCCTCTCATTGTATTTAACATGTTCAAGCCATTTTCGACTGTATTTAACATGTTCAAACCATTTTCTAGAGGTTTGTTGATGCAAAACCAACCGATGCATGTTATTAAGTGAAATGTTTTTAGACTGTCCTAAGAGTATGGTTTTAGTCCTAATATATATCTTTTCACCTTTTACCTTAATGTATTATGATGCAATTAATTTTGTTGGCTAAATAGCTCTACTTTTTTGACACTGATAAGTTGAACATTGGTTTATTTGTATTCGTTGAGTGTATGATATATTTCACAGTTCCAATCGACAATCAAAGGTCACTAAATTGAAGTTCGTTTTCACTTTTACATTTTATGAATTATTAAAATAATAGTCGTTGGTCTTAAATAACACTACTACTAACAGTATCGTAAGCGCATGCTATATTAGGTAATTCATGAATATTACGTTTTGGACAATTAACATTATTATTATAAGAGTCGGTAATATGGAGAATTACCGGAAGGTTCAAATATAACATGTTTGACAGAGTTTCAGAGGAGAAAAAAATATTTTCATCTCAAGGATGGTACAGCTGAGAATGATGATTAGGTTATGCAGTGCTTGGCCTCTCGAATGTATTTAACATGGTCAAACCATTTTCCATAGAGGCTTGTTCATGCAAAACCAACTAATGCATGTTATAAGTGAAATGCTTTTAGACCGTCCTAAGAGTATAGTTTTAGCCTTAATACATGTTTTTCCCCCTTTAAACTTAATGTATTATGATGCAATTAATTTTGTTGGCTAGACGAGAGCTCTTCTTTTTTGACACTGATAAGTCGAACGTTGGTTTGCTGGTCTTCGCTCAGTGTATGATATATTTCACAGTTCCAATCAACAACCTAAGCTCACTAAATTGAAGCTCGCTTTCACTTTTACATTTTATGAACTACTAAAATAATAGTTGTTGGTCTTAAATAAAACTACTACTAACAGTATCGTAAGCGCATGCTATATTAGGAAATTCATGAATGTTGGGTTTTGGACAATTAACACTACTACTAGAAGAGTCGGTAAGATGTAGAATCACCATAAGGTTCAAATATAACATGTTTGACAGAGTTTCATAAGAGAGAAAAATATTTTCATCTCAAGGATCGTACATTTGCGAATGATGATTAGGTTATGCAGCCCTTGACCTCTCGTTTGTATTTAACGTGGTCAAACCATTTTCAATAGAGTTTTGTTGATGCAAAACCAACCGATGCATGTTATGAAATGCTTTTAGACTGTCCTAAGAGTATGGTTTTAACACTAATATATGATTTTTTCCCCTTGACCTTAATGTATTATGATGCAATTAATTTGGTTGGTTAGATGAGAGCTATTCTTTTTTTTATACTGTCAAGCATTGGTTTACTGGTCTTCGCTGAGTGTATGACATATTTCACAGTTCAAATCGACAACCTAAAGTCACTAAATTGAAGCTCATTTCCACTTTTACATTTTATGAACTATTAAAATAATAATCGTTGGTCTTAAATAACACTACTACTAACAGTATCATGAGCGCATGCTATATTAGGTAATTCATGAATATTGGGTTTTGGACAATTAACACTACTATTAGAAGAGTCGGTAAGATGAAAAATCACCGTAAGGTTCAAATATAAAATGTTTGACAGAGTTTCAAAAGAGAGAAAAACATTTTCATCTCAAGGATGGTATAGTTGAGAACGATGATTAGGTTATGCAGCCCTTGGCCTCTCGATTGTATTTAACATGTGCAAACTATTTTCCATATTAGTTTGTTGATGCAAAACCAACGGATGCATGTTATCAAGTGAAATGCTTTTAGACTGTCCTCAGAGTACGGTTTTAACCCTAATATATGTTTTTTTGCCATTCACCTTAATGAACTATGATGTAATTAATTTTGTTGGCTAGATAAAAGCTCGTCTTTTTTAACATTGATAAGTCAAAAGTTGATTTGCTGGTCTTGGTCTTCGCAGAATGTATGATATATTTCACAATTCCAATCGACAATGTAAGATCACTAAATTAAAGCTCATTTTCACTTTTACATTTTATGAACTACTAAAATAATAGTCGTTTTTCTTAAATAAAAATATTAGGTAATTCATAAATATTGGATGACAATTAACACTATTACTAGGAGAGTCGGTGAGATGAAAAATCACCGTAAGGTTCAAATATAACATGAATATTATACAGTAAGGAGAACGGATACCAGTGATTCAGAATACTTATAACATGCAAGATGAAAACTTGACAAAATAAATCCGAATGATTCCATCAATATATCTGTTAATTTCTTTTTTTGCTTTCTCACTTTTCCCCAGACGACGGGGGCCAGTAACTGATCATCAGATAACGTAGCTAAAACAAATAAATACAGAAAAAAGGAAAAATCTTTCCTCCTATACAAGAAATCGCCATTGGTATTCCCACTGCTTTAATTGAATTCTACTATGGTACAACGAACAACTTATCCACGCCCCTGCATCAACGGGTTCTAAACCACCTTATCACTTTTCCCCGTGAAGGTGAAGTTGACAACCAGCACAGATGCCCCGGCAGATAATATTTTATCACTCCTTCCTGAACTATGAAGGAAAAAATTTTAAAAAAAAAGTTGTATGTGCATCATTCATTGCGGATTGAATAATACTTATCCCAGAGAGTTTGTGATTTTGATATTTCATTCATAAGATTCTTGAACTTGACACTGCAATCTCCTCCACTGCAGAACGCAAATTCAAAAAAGATACACGCCTCTCAGATTAATACGTGGACAGAAGTGCAAAGAGAAACAGAAAGGAGGAAGAAAGAGCTTGGTTCACAAAGCACAAAATACAAACCTTATGCGGTTCAAGGATGCAATAGCTCGGAGTGCGCTTCGAATCATGTCTTCATTACGATCTACTTCTTGCTTGACTGCATCTTGCTTTGGCTTAAAATTGATAGTCTTTTGGAGAGGATCCACCAATGAATCTAACACTGAAAGGTGAAATCCAAGTTAGAAAACATAAATGCAAGATAGCAAGATCTTAATACTGTAATAGAGACAACATTAACCTGCCAAGACTGCAGAGGGGCACTTATCAGCTAGTTTTGAAAGTATCAAGTGGCAGGGCATTTTAACATCGTAATGATCTGAAAAACCCAAATTTGTATCATTAAAATTAGCACCAACAAAGAAAGAGGAAAAAAAAAGTAGGATACTCAACCCCGGGAACAATACAAATAAAATAAAGTATTCAACAAATTTAGTAAAAAGAAGACCAGTGCCATGAAGCTCCCGTTTTAAGTGGGGTGGATGGATCCGAATTTCCCTAAGTTTCAGTAGCAAATGTGCTATTTTTCCAATATATTAGTACACAAATCACCATCTAGTACAAATTTAACATCTTAACCTGGGCTAAAATGCTTGGAAAAATGGATAAAGGTAGGAGTTAACCTAAAGCAAATATCATGAAGAGTGTTACGAAGAAAAATAAAATAAATATAAAAATCTGAACTTAAAATATTAATATTAGATAAGTGAATCAGAACCATCAACCAACACATGTAATTACCAAGGATGGGAAAAAGATTATGTTTAATGCTCACCATCCAAACCAGATTTAAGATAAGGAACAATGAAAGATGAGGGGTTCACTTGATCAAGACAACTGTCCAGCAATGTGTCTACACACTCGAAAGCTGCCTTCCTCAATTCAAGCCCATCATCCACAATATGCTTGAAAGGACCAAGATCAACTGTCCTTATTAGCTCTTGCTGTCAAAAATTCATTATAAAAATCAGACCACCTCCAGTAATACAAGATCTTCTATTTTGCTTAAGGCATCTCTGCCAGTAGACTCAAGCCATTACAAAATATATTAAAATTACTTTAAAAAGTTCATAGAATCACGGGGAAGATAAAGTCAGGTTTATATTGTAAAGACATATACCCAACAGAATTACTTGAAACAGAAATCAGGTTACCTTAACAATTGTTTGATCATAAAGAAGAGGTAACAGATTGGGAAGAAGCCCCTTGATTAGGTTCGGCTTATTGTGTGCAAATGTGCTTAGAGCCAAGACAGCAGCTCGCCTAACATGCTGTATCCCATAATAACAATCAGCTAAAATAAAGTTCCAACAAAATAACCATCTGCCAGTAAGCCGAAAATACACAAACAAAAAAAAGAAAATAGCACTTTGCATGTCTTTATCAACATTGAGTAAGGTGATTACAAACTGACCCTGTCATTATCCTTGATAAGCATAAGAAATGATGATATTTCAGGGTATATGATCTCATCTATCTTCTCAGGACGTTCAACTATAGAGTACTTCACAGCAATGACAACAGTAGCTCGAGTAAATGCAGCTGGGCTAGTTGTTCTTACCTATATAAATTTCCAAATATACAAACACAACCACCAAATTTAAAACAAGCAAGTCACAAGCATGAGTACAGGGCACCGATAGAAAATTCATATACCTTGAGTGCAGGAATGAGTTTTACAGGTTCAATAAGCGCAATTTTGCCCAGACACTCGGCCACTACATTGCGCACCCCCTCTTCATCACTTTCACAGTGGTTAAAGAGTAAATTAAGTATTTTCTCAACACTAGACTCTTGAAACTCTGCTTTATCTACAGATTGTCTCACAATTACCTGCTCGGTAGGGGCAAGAGAATAGCATATACATTACATAAGAGGAAGAAAACATAATAGCATCTATATTAAACATTAAAAAAAGAAATCACAGACAACCAGATAGTTTGTTCAAGGCAACACACCTCTTTCAAAGAATGGAGTAAGAGATATTGTTTCTTCTGCTGATTATCAATCTGATCCAAGATAAATGGCAAGTACTTGGGAAGATTACCAACAGCAATGTTACCAAGTGCGTACGAGGCAGCAGACTTGATCTCTTCGAAAGGAGATTGGAAAGACTCAATAACAATATTTTCTATATGTGCATGTGTGCTTAGATCCTTCCTTCTACCAATCTCCCCCAAACATAGAAGGGCAAGGTGCTGCTTAGCCTTTGAAAGGGAAAAGGCATAAATGATTAGTACATAGAGAAGGCGAGGAACAAAATGAAAGCCAAACTGTTACGGCAATGCATTTCATTTTTATTTCTGACAGAGAAAGTGTTAGGACTAGGTGATTCCACAATATATTCTAAAGATCTTCTGAAGATAGCCATAAATGATTAGAGTACATAGAGA